CACACACGTCACCCTCCTCTGGTCACCCATGTATCGGTCGTACAGTGCGCTGCCTGATCGGAAAGTACTGGTGGCCTACCTTGGCTAAGGACGTGAGGGTGTATGTCTCCTCCTGCTCGGTGTGCGCCCAGAGTAAGGTACCTAGGCACCTCCCAGCAGGTAAGTTACAACCTATACCAGTTCCACAACGACCAGCGCTATTTGTGTACGACGGAATAAACTCTGCATTCGGTGAATACCCTCCTGCGCCTGACTCCTTCTATCACACTCATCACAGTCTTGCACATTCAGCCTCTGAATGCATACATACACAATCCATGTCTCAATTGTCTCAAGGCTTAAAAATCCTTCTTTAACCTGTCTCCCCCCTTCATCTACACTGATTGAAGTGGATTTAACAAGTGACATTAATAAGGGATCATAGCTTTCACTTGGATTCACCATGTCAGTCTCTGTCATGGAAAGAACAGGTCTCCTTAATATTTTGTACACTCAGTGTATATGAGTGATTGTGATGAAAAACGATAATGTTAAAAAATAAGTTATTCTGAATGATCTAAAGGATGTATTCAAAGTCCAATAATTTGTTCCCTTTGAAAAGCACTGCGAACAATGCAGGCTCCTATGTCAAGTGGATTTTCCAAGAAGGGCCATAGTGACGAACAAGAATCTGATTGGTGGAGAAGTCCCATATTTATACACCAGGACAGGCTAAGATCAAGTTAACCAAGTAGGTTGCAGGTTTGCTTCAGAACATTCATTGCTATGGTTTCTTGCTTTCAAGCTCTCTTTCTGGAGCCGGAAATTCTGAGTTTGACAGATCTTGCTAAGTCACTAATCCGGCTTTATGGAATACCCCTCAGGAGTACAGAGCCAAAACAACAAAAAATGTGTCACTGTCCCAATACTTTTGGAGCTCACTGTTTATTACAGGGATGTTAGCTGTAATCTGCATAGTACATTAGAAATGGATAACTGCGTTAGCCTGTTTCTAAGACTGTCACAGTGGAGAAATGACAGGAATTCAGCCAGAGGCGATAAGTCACGTAGAGGTTAACAAGCTGATACGGGTGGACTCATTTCCCCTCCATTTGCATCTGAAGACAGGTCAACCACTGAGGTGTTTGGGCTGAAGTGGTGATGTCAGCAATGCTCCTTTAGGGAGTGGAGGAATAATGCCAGAGTGACAGGGGATGACGAACGGCCATACCTTCCAACACCTGTGATGTCAGATCTCTTCGGTTGATAAGGAAGAGATATACTACTCTACCAGAGAGAGCTGGCATTCAGCACCTCACGAACACCACAAGCCCTCCAAGCATCGGTCGTCACCATCAAGGCAGTGGATTTTGACATTAATGTACTACCTGTGCAGAAACTCACTCACTCACATACTCTCTCATGTATGTTGTGCGTGAAGCACACAAGCTAACACACAGCAAAAAAAAAAGAAAGGGCATCTACTACCCAATGATGATACAAATAAAATCATAGTTAACATCCTGATCACAGCAACTAAAAGCTTAACGAATATACATACACACATGTGATTCATTGTTTGCAGAATGTCAACCTGCAGCCATAAAATTCTCGTAGAAAAAAGGATTCAAAAAGGGTTCTTCGGCTGTCCCCATAGGATAACCCTTTTTGGTTCCAGGTAGAACCCTACTGGGTTCCATGTAGAACTCTTGGGTTCTACATGGAACCCAAAAGAGTTCTACCTGCAACCAAAAAGGGTTCTTCAAAGGGTTATCCTATGGGGACAGCCGAAGAACCCTTTTAGGTTCTAGATAGCACCTTTTTTTCTAAGAGTGTAGGCCATCGTATGGGAGGACAAGGAGGACAGTAAATCTGGAATGACAGAAGTATCACCGCATAAAGGATGGTAAGATAACAAGATGGCACCGACATACACGGTCACACTGTTTCTAGCTCCTAGCCAACTTTGCAGTATTTTTTTATGGTGTGTGTTATTTCTTACATTATTTGTTAAGAACGTATCTAGGATTATTACCTACAGCCGAAAAATTACTTTTGGACATTCGATCGGCGGTCAATCACCAGAAATTTGACCTGACATTTGACTTCCCTGACCTGGATCCTTTGTTTGGACTTTCCAAAGTAGCCCCATTCATCCCGTGTGCTACACAAAAACGTCAACACCAGAGATAGGGAAAAGAAGTGGGGTTCTAGTCATGCTCAGGCAGTGAGCAAACCATCCATCGCTTCCAAGTATATTACTCGCTAACGTTCAGTCCCTGGACAATAAAGTAGACGAGCTCAGGGTGAGGATCTCCTTTCAGAGAGACGTCAGGGACTGTAACATACTCTGTTTTAAGGAATCATGGCTCTCTCTGGATATATTGTCCCCGTCCATACAGCCAGTGGGGTTCTCCGTTCATTGCACAGACAGGAAGAAAAAACTCTCTAGGAAAAACAGAGGTGGATGGGTATGTCTCATGACTAACAACTCATGGACAGAACTTAAGCAGGAGGCACCCGTGGTAAGGACTGTTGAACGTTGGTCTGACCAATTGGAATCTATGCTTCAAGACGGTTTTGATCACGCAGACTGGGAAATGTTTTGGGTCACCTCAGGGAATGGTATCAACGTATAGACTGACTGTGTATGGGTTCATCGGGAAGTGCATAGAGGATGTTATTACCTCTGTAAAAATGCTGTTCATCGACTACAGCCCAGCCTTCAACACCAAAGTGCCCTCCAAGCTCTAAGCTCAGGGTGCTGGGTCTGAACCCCTCCCTGTGCAACTGGGTCCTAGACTTCCTGACGAGCCGACCCCAGGTGGTTGTGTGCTCAGTCCCCTCCTGTACTCCCTGTTCACCCATGACTGCATGGACAAGCACGTCTCCAACTCAATCATCAAGTTGGTAGGCCTGCTTACTAAAAACGACGAGACAGCCTACAGGGAGGAGGTGAGAGCCCTGGCGGAGTGGTGCCAGGAAAATAATCTCTTCCTAAAGTCAACAAAATAAAGGAGCTGATCATGGACTAAAGGAGACAGCAGAGAGAGCACACCCCCATTCACATCGACAGGGCCGCATTGGAGAGGGTCAAAAGCTTCAAGTTCTTCGGCGTGCAAATCACTGAGGACCTGAAATGGTCCCTTCACACCGACAGGAGGCTGAAGAAATTCGGCTTGGCCCCTAAGACCCTCACAAACTTGCTGCATTGAGAGCCTTCTGTCAGGCTGTATCACCGCCGGTACGGCAACTGCACCACCCGCAACCGCAAGTCTCTCCAGTTCACCCCACTATCATCTGGAAGGCAGAGACAGTACAGGTGCATCAAAGCTGGGACTGAGAGACTGATAAACAGCTTCTATCTCCAGGCCATCAGACTGTTAAACAGTCATCACTAGCCGGCCTCTGCCCAGTACCCTACCCTGAACCTTAGACACTGTTACTAGTTTCTTTAATTTATTATTTTTGTGCTTGTTTGAATTTTTACTGCATTGTTAGTAGCTAGTAACCTAAGCATTTTGCTGCACCCGCTATAACATCAGCTAAACTGTGTACATGACCAATAAACTTTGATTTGATTTTGATTTGATAATATGGATCTCAGATAACCCCATGATTAGAAGAGACTGTATGCAGTAGATGAGGCTGGGATCTGGGGGAAGTGTCAGCTTGCCTTACCGCATTGAGGAGCTGTCAGGGAGATGAAGGAGCACACAGGTGGTAGCTAGCATACATTCAAGCAGCCACTGCCTGCCTAGCTGCCTACTACATCCCCTCCAGGCTGTATTGGGGGGGGGGGGGGGGGGGGGGTGTTCTGGTAGTGATACGTGGGTTGACTCATAACCTGCACTCCCCGCAGTTATATCCGTGGGGCGGGTTTAGGATCATGAAATGTTGTGTGGATGAAGGGTGGGTGCGTGGTGGGCGGGTTGAATAAAGAGAAGAAAAAAAAAATCCATAAATGTAGAATTCTTGTGCAATTCATATCTATACGCTATATTGAGGTTTTTCTTTCTTTCTTTTTATCTGGCATTAGTGCTTCAGCTTTAGGGCCTAACTGTATGCACGTCAAATACATGCCAATCACCAAATGCTTTTGGGAACTTGGGCAGAAAAAGCTAATGTAGATCCTAAATATTCAATAAATAATTTATTGAACAACGTCATTGTTCAATAAATGTTCAAGGGAAAAAAGGGAACTGTACAGCACATTTTCTATATTTGCGGGTGAGGGTCGGGTGCAGACCTCAGATTTTCACTTTATCACATATAGTCGGGCGATTGCGGATGGGTTATTAGCAATTGTGGGTGGGTGCGGGTGAACAAACAGCTGACCTGCGCATCACTAGTGGCTGGAGCCTACTCAAGCCATGCTAAATTATCCCGCTCTATTTCTCTGTGACCGAAACTACCCATCTCTCTCTTTCTCTTTCTCTCTCCTGTTCTCTCTCCCTTTCTCTCTCCCTTTCTCCCGTTCTCTCTCCCTTTCTCTCTCTCCCGTTCTCTCTCCCTTTCTCTCTCTCTCTCTCTCTCTCTCTCTCTCTCTCTCTCTCTCTCTCTCTCTCTCTCTCTCTCTCTCTCTCTCTATCTCTCTATCTCTCTCTCTCTCAAATCATAAATGAACATGGTTATAAATTTCATCCATTCACACAGTTTAATCCAAACACAACAAACCTTGTGTTCAGTCTCAGTTAACAACTGCTATACCATGAAAATACATGTTACAATTCCTTCTGGGTCACAAAATGATGCATTTGCTATTATGAGGTTCAGTCTTTTTAGTACAACTGTGTTTTAGTGTAGCATGAATTAAGCTATCATCAGGAGAAGAAATATTGTTTATTCAATGAATCAATCGACTTTGGTAATTTAGCAATTTCTTAACATTGAACATTTACATTTGACATGGTCTCAAGTCTGTACGAAATAAATAGCACAATTTTGCTCATTTACAGCTTGGCTGATAAATGGGTTATGGTTCATAATTAAATGGCATACAAATGAATTGTGGTAATCATGTACTCACTAATTACATAACAAAATGTTCTCCTTTTAAATAAAGCTTTTCAGATTCATAAGTACCTTCAAGAGCATGTTATAGTTAAATAAATAGAATGATTTCCATTTTAACATGCACAACCAATCTGCTTGGGAAAGTATTTACACCAAACGGACACTACAATGCATCTTTATTTTTCTGAATGTTTATGTCTCTCACACACTCTTTCTCAAATACACACCCACATTGTCTCTTATGAACACACTGTCTATTTACTATGAACACCATATCTTCTCTTTAGGGCTAAAACTATCAATGTGATCGAAATGCTAATGCTGAATGCATTATAAAGAGGACACATCTCAACAATTCACAGGATTTTTTTTAAGGGTTTTTCAGTTTTATGGTCATACGATTAAACTATGAAGTCATGCATTATGATAACTGGTGGGCCTGTGGTATTTGGTTTGAGTTTTTGAAATCAGTGGCTCCATTGATTTTATTTTTGTGGACAAAGAAAGGTGTGCAACTTTTGTGGAAGTAATATACAAATATGCTACCAATAATCTCTAGAAAGTATTTTTTTCAGGGAATCTCCATTGTCGAGAAACTATTTTTCTCTAATTGAGTCCATTGTCTGCACATGATCCAGGAGTCATTGGAAGAGGTCGTTGCTTATGTCTTGTCCATAGCAGTGTGGAAACTCCTTGATATGAGGCAGTTGAGGAAGTTGAGAAGCAGAGTTTGTGGATGATCTGCTATATTACATAATATAATTTCTGTATGTGGTTCTTTCATGATGCAAAGTAAGAGTTCTGCATGGAATAGAGTCGGTCAATGGGTCCCACACGTGCTTGCATGTTCATTTCTGAAGATGCCATGAAGCAGTCACTGAGGCTGGTTAAAGATGTGTCACTGTCTATATCATGGAAAATTGAGTCATTACCTATAAAGAAGAGAAAGAGAAAAATAAGTTGCAAGAACATAATAATTTACAGTCAAAGAAAATACTATAAACGAGGCATTGAATAAAAGCAAACTGCAACTTCCAATTGCACTGATAATAAATATGATATATTTATAACTGTCTTGCAAATTGATAATTGTTAGTCTTGATGCCCACTTTGAATGATTGTTATTACATGCCATTGTAATTCTGAAAACTGTTTTGACAATAACTCTCTTAAGGCTTTGTCCTGCCCTTTCTGGGACAGTTACTATGGATCTGAGAGGAACATGTCAACAAGAGGCATCTATCCAAAAGAGCTTAATAGCAAATGTTTACGTATCTCATAATTTCTCGTCCTATTATTTCCTTGTGGGAATTGTTAACTTTATTGCGCTCCAGATTTTAATGACACTGTTACAAAAGATGGGGACAGAGTGATGAAGAGACATATCTTTTAATGTGTTGGCAATATCATCCTTCCCTCTATTTATCCCATAAAAACAGAGGGAGTGTGATGAGACTGGGACTTTGGGTGTTGCAATTGCAAGACACAAAATGGAGGCTTTCAGAAATGATATCAAGTTTAGTAAACAATCTTTATGGGGTTGGAGACACTGCTCAGAATTGTCTTCTACCAGTTTCACCCCGTATACAGTGTGTAAATTAAATGGAAGAATAAAATAACTGATTCAAGTTTGATTTAAACCTTTTTGTTTTGTTTGCAATTGCATCCCTCTCATTGTCACATATTAATCACATACAATGGTTATTTTGCATCGTGGCACATTACTTCACTCATCATGCTCACCATTGTTTTGATTATAATGTACCGCAAGCCCTTTGGATTATCTAAAAGCTCTTCACATTGTCCGCAATGCAAACTGTCACATAGCATAGCATTGCATGTCACCAAACCCCATGCACAGACAGAGAGAACATATTGAGTGATTGTGGGGTGGGAGGAGGAGGGGGTAGTAGAAAATATGCTGGATTGATTTTAAAATGAACTTCAAAATAAACCAGTGGCCTGTGAGTATGTTTGTGTCATCTCATGTGGAAGGGGGCTGCTTGTACTTTGTGCGAGCAGCCTAAACCAGGGCTCTGTGGCCTGAACACATGTCCCACACTGGTGAGCATACAAGGTTGAGAAGGGGGGTAGGGGGGTGGATGCTCACCATATGGGTTCATGTGGTCTCCGGGCATCTGTGGGGGAGTGAGGCCCTGCTGGAAGGGGTCCGTACTGTAGCCATTCTGATCCATGGCAACCAGTTGCTGCTGGGGCGGGGCCAGTGGCGTGAAGGAGTTCATCATGCCCTCCATCCGATTGGACATCACCTCTGTAACACAGCCAACCACGTGGAGAAAGACTTTACATGAAGACTGTTGTGGAAGAGGCCTTTACATGCATTTTTCAGCAGTGCTCCTGGGAGGAAAATCATCAACTCTAAATCTAATACAGAAACTAGACCATGAGCACTGTCTCCATGGAAACCCTCTCTGCTCTGCTGTGGGCAAGGGAGATTCTCCCAGCATTCCCTTGAAGAAGGCAGCTCTTGACTCACTCAGTGGTGAGTGGGACGCACACACAGCCCTTGTGGGTTTGAGACTGGAGCCCACCACCCTGCACATTCCTTTACAGTGGTGAGCCCTTGTGAAAAGATGTCTGTCATTCATTTATTTTGGGTTCCAGAAGTTTCCATCACATATGTCTGCTGTAATGCTTTCTTGTTTAAGTTAACTGTACTCAGTAGATTTTGTGATCTAAAATACATATATCTCCTCAAATACTATCCTATCCAGTATTCACAATATGCACTTTTGGGCAACAGCATTTCAGGGCATACTGTTTGCCTTTCCCTAGAGAGTTTGACAAAAGGCACATATATTAAATATTCTAGATCTGTTGAGTAATAAAATGTAAATGTAAGCCTTGGGATTTCCACAGTAAAGAAAGGTAGCTGCTTTAGATTGTACAACTATATTTCTCTACTGTTTGCAACATCTCTTAAATCGTGAATTTTATGTCTAGTGTATACTTTGTGTAGATACTTCCTCCTCACTGTTATATATCTTGTGTTTTCTTACAATATCGTGAAACCAAATCCTTTCTCCATAGTGGATGTGTCTGTTTTCAATTAAGCTTTTGTCTGTGCCTGGAATCATACCATTAACCACAATTGCATCTAAAATTCAAAATCTAATATGATTTGTGAACATTTTACAACTGCTCTAGTGATTCTTCCTCGCAGTGTGGTACAGTGCCAATGCGTTATGTGCAATATTTTTATTTGTCTTGAATTCTGAGAAGGTTGTCTCTGAACACTTGTTGGTGTGGCTCTAACCCTGACGAACAGCCTGTATGACATCATTACAGAAGTGCAGTGTCTGAATGGAAACGTGAGAGTTTGACCTGGCTACAGCATGCACACTACAGTACTCACACAGGATGGGTCATTTTATATATAAGACTGATTAACAGGGTTTCATTTGTAAATCTCCCCACCCACACACACAGCTGACATGGTCTCCCATATACCATGCCTGACTGGGGCCACAGACGCTAGCTAGCCTCCTCCACCCCACAAACCAGTGGAAACTAGGGCTAATACGTGGGAGGTCACACATGAGCAGAAGCCATTACGACCGTTCTACTCCAAGGGTTTGCATGTTGCCTCAATTAATGCCATCTTTTGGAGTGGTCACACAGAGCTGTGGTATACAGTATGTGATTATCCTGCCTCTGTATTTCTCATTGAAGTGCCATGCTGCGCGTTTAACTGGCTGAATCATCATTTTTATTTCTGTTATGTGATAATCCCAGATCACAATTTTAACACCATGTCAAATGCAAAATAATTGTCTAAAGCCATGGTAATACTGAACCAGTAACATCTGTTTTTAAACTTCTGAAACAGCTAGTAGCTGCAGGTAGCTTAGTGGTTAAGAGCGTTGTGCCAGTAACCTAAAGATCGCTGGTTTTAATCCCCGAGCCGACTAGGTGAAAAATCTGTTGATGTGCCCTTGAGCAAGGCACTTAACCCTAATTGCTCCTGTAAGTCGCTCTGGATAAGAGCGTCTGCTAAATGACTAAAATCTTTTGAAAATTATACTGGGGCAGTGGTTATTGGCCTATTTCAACCCAAACTGTAGACAGTGTACTGTACCTTGGCCAAGCCTTTGAGTATTCTGTTGTTCGTGTTGCTGCTGCTGCCTCCTTGCCATCTTCTTCATCTAAAACAAAGGAGACGTTTAAGTAACTCCCCAAACTAACGTGCTGTTTTTCATTGGAAAACGATGCCTCTTGTTGCTCACCCCTGAGTGAACTACAGGAACACGTATCTTCGTTATCAAAGGCTTTTGAAGATAATATCAAAAAAGGAGGTGGGTGTAGGTATGACTTAGGTAGATTTGAATGCGTTGCACTTCAACTTTACAGAGCTAAAAGGAATGCAATGAAATAGTTACATTTATTGTTGATAGCTGTGGTGATTTGTTAGCTGTAATACTGTAATGTTTGCCCATTCCGGCCAATCCATGTGTACTGCATTGCTATTACTACATTGGTCTGTTGATTAGTAACAAATAACATCATTCTCACAAATAACACTGCCTTTGGGGTGGTTGTGCTCTCACCTTGGCTCTCTGGTTTTGAAACCACACCTGCACCACACGAACACTGAGGCCTGTCTCAGCAGCCAGGGTCTCCCTTACCTTTAACAGTCAACACAAACGCATTTCAACATCACACAAGAAAACACTTCAGTACAGATTGTGGCAGTCTTTTTGGACCTCTTGGTTCCTGCCTCTTCAAAGCTTTGGAGTGGGTGCAGTGAATTATTTTAGGGCCTACGCTATGGATGCAGTTCTTCTCTCTCAGAATGTCATTTGGCGCAGGGCAGGCGGGCTGCGTTACCCTCTACCTCAGTTAACAAAGACCAGAGTGCTGCTAGCCACTTCAAAGCACCGCTCTGAGGTGCTGGAGATTTTTCAAATTTGAGAATTTTATTTGTAAAACTACCGTAGGCCTCATGGCATTCCTCCAATTCTCCACATGTCAGTCTGTCCAGGGGGATATTATGAAGTATTAGTATTGGATTTGCATCTACCGTATACTACAGAAACACCTCAAAGAAAGCTTAGAAGATTGATTTTGTTGCTTGTCTTCTCACAAAAGCCAGCTTTCAGTTCAAACTGTGTATACTGTAGCCGTGCAGACATTTCAAGTAGTGTTCCCAATGTAGGTCATTCTTTCAGGTCATTCTCTGTAGCCTAAATACACTTGTTCCTCATAGCTACTTTTGTGCTCAAACTGCAGCAAGCCTCCTTCGTGCTGGAGGTTAAACAAAGTGTTAGTTTTCACCTCTGTTGAGTGTTCAGTAGGCAGACAGTGGGATTAACTCTGGTGGTGGTGACCAGGTCATGTGGAGGAGAGGAGAAGGTCTCACCTTTCTGCAGGGTTTGGAGGACACCTCGAAGGAGGCTTTGAAGGCTCGTCTCTGCTGAGTGTTCAGAATGGTGCGGGGTCGCTTGGGCCTTCTGGGGTCCTTCCCATCATCTCCCTTCCCCTGGCCTTCCGTGCCTTTCTCCTGCTTGATCCCCAGATCCTCATCGTCGCTTTTCTCTGCATGGAGATACAGCCATTTTTCACAAATATCAGTATGGGTTTGAGCTGACAACTTCCCTGACAGTCTACTGATAAATATATGCTTTTTGTTCTTTTCAATTCCAAGAGATTCTGACTCCGCAAGGGTATCCATAATGAAAGGAGACACATGCGGTTTTAATAGTTTGTTATGAATTTATTACAAAACGAATAGGCCACATGCACGATTTTCAGAAGACTAGTTCTTACCAGAAAAGCACAATGTTATATTGTGTCATTGGTAATTAATTACACTCAGTGTTGGCTGTTACACCAAATAAATCTTTGATAAGAATCCTACGTAGCGGATCCACAACAACATGAAATGGCAGCATGAGCACATATGGGAAATTAATTCAAAATAACATAGGAAATATAAAATATATATTTCAGAACCTGAAAATAATAGTAAAATGCACATTGGGTCCCAACAGACAAAAATACTAAAAAGATGCTATGCATAAATAACACAATTGGAAAAAGTTCTAAGACGTTCTTACCAAATGGTGGAAAGCTGATGTGTTTTGTTATTGTCTATTGTAATTGCATGTGTCCATAAAGGGATCTTTCTGTCTCTCTATTGGCACACATAATATGCCATCTTAATAAAACAGCTAAATGGCTTCATCATCACATAGTGTGATGGACATTTGATCATTAATCTAACAAGCAATATCAGCGTACATAATATAATGATACTCATACTTAAAATGCTAAACTTCATGAGTTTACAAAGATAATGATAGAATCCTATGTTAAATAATGTATCCCCAATGCATTCATAACAAAATACAAGGCCTGGGTGAGTGAAAGGCAGTGTTCTCAGAAGCAGCAGCACTGTCAATTAAAGCAACAAATGATGTGGGCTTCCTGTGATGGCTTAGAGATGCATACATGATGGTGTCGTTCTGTCTGCTGTCATCTGGTTCTGATTCTCTACTGTAAATAGTGTGGTGTAGTAGGCTAAACTGTATTTCACCAGTTGATTTCTATATTTTATTTTCTGTAAATGCCGAGGTTAACCTCTATTCATGTAAAATCTTGAATTTCTAGACACTCCAAAAGAATGCCCATGTGATACACTGGGGCAAAACGAAGCGTGGAAGTAAAACAAATATTCCTTTAAGTTGACAAAAGTTGACAAGGACAGATGCGTTTGACAAATTCTCTGCCTTTGTGTGCGTGTTTAAATGAGAGCCAGATGGGACTGAACAGTGAGGCTTGGCGAGATGCCTCATTGTGTGGAGGCGAGGAGAGGAGGCGAGGAGTACAGAGGAGAAGATAAGAGGACCTTCGCTCGGCCCTCTGCAGAAAGGCCCTAAATCCTCCCGTCAGTCACCATGATACACTGATTTAATTATTTCCATTATTGCCCGCCGACACAAGGACCCAACAGCCATTAATACAGTGGCTTTTTGTCTACCCTGCTTCTGTCACGACTTCCGCCGAGGCTGCCTCCCCTCCTTGTTCGGGCAGGTTTCGGCGTTCGGCATCACCGGCTTACTAGCTACTGCCGATCCATTTATCATCACTCCATTTGTCTTGTCTTCAATCACACACACCTGGTCCTTATTCCCTCATTAGTCATGGTATAAGTGTTCCCTCTGTTTCCTTGTCTGTGTGGGTGATTGTTTATTGTGGAGGTTTGTGAAGCTCGGTGGAGCTCGTGTATTGTGTATCGACGGGAGTATTTTCCCGTGTGTCTTGTATTTTCCAGTGCGCCTGTTTTGTGCCCTGGAGTGTGTTTGACACATTTCTGTGTAAATCTGTATTTTGCGGATTAAAGCCTGTTATTCTGTGATTTACCCTCCTGCACCTGACTTCTTCAACACCACCTCATCACAGAATCACCCACCCGAGATGATGGAGTCAGCGGGAGAGACGCACATGCCTGGAGTCGTGGAACGGGTCCAGGAGCATTCAACTATTCTAGCCAGCTTGGGTGAAGCGATGGGTCAGCTTCTTCATGTCGTCCAACGCCTGGAGAGGAGAGAGCCCGATCCGTCGAGAGCAGCTGGTCAACCGGATCCCCCCACCTACACCCCAGCACCTTGAGGGATCCAGATATCCCGACCAGGGGAGTTCGACAGGACAGCGGCGCTGTGCCAAGGATTTCTTCTCCAACTGGAGCTCTACTTCTCCAGCATCCGGCCGTTTCCATCGGAGCGGGAGAAGGTGTCCGCCCTCGTCTCCTGCCTCTCGGGGAAAGCCCTGTAGTGGGCCAATGCGGTGTGGAATGAAGGAGGAGCCGCGTTGGAGAACTACGGGGAGTTCGCTCGCCTCTTCCCGGCGATCTTTGATCACCCGCCTGAGGGTCGAGATGCGAGCAAGCGGCTGGTCCACCTGAGGCAGGGGACGAGGACTGCGCAGGACTTTGCATTGGAGTTTAGAACTCTGGCAGCTGGGTGCGGGTGGAACGAGCGGGCCCTGATTGACCAGTTCCGGTGCCATCTGCGAGAGGATGTCCGACGGGAGCTAGCCTGCCGTGACACCATGTTGTCCTTCTCGCAACTGGTGGACATGGCCATTCGTTTGGACAACCTGCTGACAACCATAGGACGTCCTGGAGGAGGTCTGCCCGTTTCCATCCCGGCCGACTCGGATCCAGAACCGATGGAGATGGGTGGAACCGCTAGCCGAGAGAGCGGAGGACGACAGCGCCAGTGCCACACTGGTGGCACGAAGGGACATTTCACCACACGTTGTCGTCAACGCTCTTCTGGGTTTGGAGGCGGCAGGCAGGGCACTCTCGCATCACCCCAGGTATCGAACACCCACACTCGTTCAGAGCCCTCTGCTGCACACTGTAAAAATACTTATCTCCTTTCCTGAGCACATGGATGTTCCCCAGTGTAAGGCGCTAGTCGATTCAGGCGCAGCTGGGAACTTTATGGACAGGGCATTTGCACACCATATAGGCATTCCATTGATTCCCCTATCCATTCCACGCTCCATCAGAGCACTTGATAGTCGACCATTAGGGTCCGGGTTGGTTAAGGAAGTTACTGCACCAGTCACCATGATTACCCAGGAGACTCATTGTGAGCAGGTTACTTTTTCCATTATTGAGTCTCCTGCTTTCCCTGTGGTATTAGGTATCCCTTGGCTAGCACTCCACAACCCCACCTTCTCATGGCCGCAGAGGGTTCTCACAGGGTGGTCGTGAGAGTGTCAGGGTAGGTGTCTAGGTGTTTCCGTTGGTGCAACCACGGTGGAAAGTCCAGACAGTACCTCCACCGTGGGCATTCCCCCTAAATACCTCGATCTGGCGCAAGCGTTCTCTAAAACGCAGGCTACTAAATTATCCACCTCATCAGTCGGGGGACTGCGCGATAAACCTCCGGGTAGACGCTGTACCTCCCAGGAGTCATGTATATCCCCTGTTACAGGCTGAAATGGTGGCTATGGAAACATATGTCACGAGTCCCTGCGCTAGGGGTATAAACGTCCCTCCACTTCACCCGCCTCCTCAAGTTTCTTCTTTGTGAAGAAGAAGGACGGAGGTCTGCGCCCGTGCATTGATTATCGACCACTGAACAGGGAGACAATAAGATTTAGTTATCCTCTCCCCCTCATTCCTTCACTGATTGAATCAATGCACAGGGCGCGCTTCTTCACCAAATTAGATCTCAGGAGTGCGTACAACCTGGTGCGTATCCGAGAGGGAGATGAGTGGAAGACAGCATTCAGCACAACCACAGGGCATTATGAATACCTGGTGATGCCCTATGGTTTGATGAATGCTCCCTCAGTTTTCCAGTCCTTTGTGAACGAGGTGTTTCGGGACATGCTTGGTCCCGGTGTAGTGGTCTACATCGATGACATCCTGGTGTATTCCGCTACGCGCGCCGAGCATGTGTCCCTGGTTCGCAAGGTGCTGGCGTGACTGTTGGAAAATGACCTTTATGCTAAGGCAGAGAAGTGTATGTTTTTCCAGCAGTCCGTCTCCTTCCTTGGATACCGCATTTCCACCTCAGGTGTGGAGATGGAGGGAGATCGCATTTCAGCCGTGCGTAATTGGCCGACTCCAACCACGGTTAAGGAGGTGCAGTGCTTCCTTGGCTTTGCCAACTATTATCGGAGGTTTATCCGGGGCTTTGGCAAGGTCGCAGCTCCCATTACCTCCCTGTTGAAGGGTGGGCCGTCCCGGCTCCGCTGGTCTGCGGAGGCTGACCTGGCCTTCAGCAAACTGCGGGGTCTGTTCACGTCAGCCCCAGTACTGTCCCACCCCGATTCATCACTACCGTTCGTAGTGGAGGTGGATGCGTCCGAGGTTGGGATAGGAGCTGTCCTGTCTCAACGATCGAGTACGCCACCCTAGCTCCGCCCCTGTGCGTTCTTTTCGATGAAGCTCAGCCCGGTGGAGCAGAACTACGGCATTGGTGATCGGGAGCTGTTGGCTGTTGTCCGAGCCTTGACCGTGTGGAGGCATTGGCTCGAGGGGGCAAAACACCCTTTCCTCTAGACGGACCACCGTAACCTGGAGTACATCCGGGCAGCGAGGAGGCTGAATCCTCGCCAGGCCAGGTGGGCCCTATTCTTCACCCGGTTTGATTTCCCTCTATCATACATCCCGGGGATGAAGAACGTGAAGGCAGACGCGCTGTCCCGGTTGTATGACACAGAGGAGAGGCCCAGAGACAACACTCCCATACTGCCAGCCTCCTGCATTGTGGCGCCGGTAGTATGGGCGATGGACGCGGATATAGAGCAGGCATTACGCACGGATCCCTCTCAGTGTCCAGATGTCTTACAGTACATGCCTGCTCTTATCCGTGATCGTCTGATCTACTGGGCACACACGTCACCCTCCTCTGGTCACCCAGGTATCGGCTGTACAGTGCGCTGCCTGACCGGAAAATACTGGTGGCCTACCTTGGCTAAGGATGTGAGGGTGTATGTCTCCTCCTGCTCAGTGTGCGCCCAGAGTAAGGCACCTAGGCACTTCCCAGCTGGTAAGTTACAACCTTTACCAGTTCCACAATGACCATGGTCTCACCTAAGTGTTGATTTTCTAACCGATCTTCCCCTCTCCCAAGGTAACACCACCATCCTGGTTGTTGTGGACCGCTTTTCTAAAGCCTGCCGCCTCCTTCCTCTGCCCGGTCTCCCCACGGCTCTGAAAACTGCGGAGGCCCTGTTTACACATGTCTTCCGGCACTACGGGGTACCAGAGGATATAGTGTCTGACCGACGTCCCCAGTTCACGTCCAAGGTCTGGAAGGCGTTCATGGAATGTCTGGGGGTCTCGGTCAGCCTGACCTCTGGGTTCCACCCCAAGAGTAATGGGCAGGTGGAACGGGTAAATCAGGACGTGGGTAGGTTCCTGCGGTCCTACTGCCAGGACCGGCCGGGGGAGTGGTCGGTGTTCTTGCAATGGGCAGAATATGCCCAGAACTCTCTCCGCCACTCCTCCACTAACCTAATGCCTTTCCGGTGTATTCTAGGTTACCAACCAGTTCTGGCACCGTGGCACCAGAGCCAGACCGAGGCTCTTGCGGTGGATGACTGGTTTCGGCGCGCGGAGGAGACGTGGGTTGCTGCCCACGTTCACCTCCAACGCGCCGTGCGTCGTCAGAAGGCCAACGCTGACCGGCACCGCAGTGAGGCCCCCGTCTTTGTACCGGGGGATCGGGTCTGGCTCTCGACCCGGAATCTGCCCCTCCGCCTGCCCTGCCGGAAGCTGAGCCCACGGTTTGTGGGGCCATTCAAAGTCCTGAGGAGAGTCAACGAGGTCACTTATAGGTTATTACTTCCCCCTGATTACCGTATTAACCCCTCGTTTCATGTGTCTCTCCTCAGGCCGGTGGTAGCTGGTCCGCTCCAGGAGGCTGAGGAGCAGGAGGTCCCTCCACCTCCTCTGGACACCGAGGGGGCCCCGGCGTACTCTGTCCGTTCCATCCTGGATTCGAGGCGTCGGGTGGGGGGCCTTCAGTACCTCGTGGAGTGGGAGGGGTATGGTCCGGAGGAACGGTGCTGGGTTCCGGTGAGGGATATCCTCGATCCCTCCATGTTACGGGATTTCCACCGTCGCCATCCGGCTCGCCCTGCTCCGCGTCCTCCTGGCCATCCACGAGGCCGGGGTCGGCGCGCTGCTGGAGCCGCGTGTCAAGGGGGGGGTACTGTCACGACTTCCGCCAAGGCTGCCTCCCCTCCTTGTTCGGGCAGGTTTCGGCGTTCGGCGTCACCGGCTTACTAGCTACTGCTGATCCATTTATCATCACTCCATTTGTCTTGTCTTCAATCACACACACCTTGTCCTTATTCCCTCATTAGTCCTGGTATAAGTGTTCCCTCTGTTTCCTTGTCTGTGTGGGTGATTGTTTATTGTGGAGGTTTGTGAAGCTCGGTGGAGCTCGTGTATTGTGGATCGACGGGAGTATTTTCCAGTGTGCCTTGTATTTTCCAGTGCGCCTGTTTTGTGCCCTGGAGTGTGTTTGACGCATTTCTGCATAATCCTGTATTTTGCAGATTAAAGCCTGTTATTCTGTGATTTACCCTCCTGCACCTGACTTCTTCAACACCACCTCATCACAGCTTCCACTTCCTAGCCCTATAAACTTCTGCTCCCTGCCCGTAATATCAATTTTTCATAGAATAAAATGAATGAATGAATGAATAAAATCACTCAAAATGTGGGTCTCACCCAGAATATGGTTTTGTACTTTTCTGTGTTTGAGTGAGTGTGAGTGTGCATTCTTCTGTTTCTGTGTGTACTGTACTGTACTGACTGCGATAGGATTTGGTCTTACCTGAGTCGGAGTCGTCCGGGCTGACAGAACTGAGCAGGTCCTTCTCCTTCTCATAGTCACTCTTACACAGCAGCTGGCCCTCCTTCAGGACAAACTCATCCCCTTTCCTCAGCTGCCGGTCACACACACAGCAGGAGAAGCAGTTGAGGTGGTATACACACTCCAGAGCACGCATCACAAACTCTGTGGGGGCGATCTTCTCCAGGCATCCGCTGCACTTGGCGGCAAACAATCTATGGAAGAAGGTGAGAGAAAAGGTACCATTACTAATCAGATTAATCGAAAACGTATGTTACAATTTGATCACAGAATCAAGGGGGGTCTACTTAGTCTCCCTAGCTTGACCTGTCATCATGGGCTTTTGATTAAGAGTGTTTGAGGGTGGCAGGCTGCTGTGGCTGATCATGTGGGCAGCCAGCACCAGTGAGTGATCCCTTTGACTGGAGCTCATGTGTGTAAGTGACTAGGGTCCCCCTATCCCCATGCCACTCCAACAGAGCTTCGTCATGGGCACCTAAATGCCTCTTAGCCTCAGACAGCTGGCCAACACTGGGTTCAGTCAGTTATGATGCTCAATTAGAATCAGCACATTAAAACTCTACATGTCCTTTTTCCTCTCTTTACTTGTTTATCGTCATCACTGTTTCTCTGTCAGATTAGCATCTGATTCTTTACAACTATTGCAATAGGTTGTCAGCATGGTCTGTTTGAGTAATGACTAGGAACTGGAACATGCCCACTGTGTCCTCATACTTTTCTACACCCAATACATTTATGACATGGACTTTTGATTAATCTCCTCCTTCATATCTCATCTGGCCATCCTAAACCAGCCTCTATGGTGCACGGCTATATTAACACCTCCATCTTCCATTATACCCTTTCAGGAAGATGTAAAACTGTTTGTATTGTTTTATTGGTGGCTGGGAGAGTATTAATTCATTTGCTATAATTCAGAAGGAGAATCATTAACTGGGCAAGGAGGCAGAGAGTGTGGTTGATCTTGTCCAGCCATGAAGCTGGTTTTATTAGCTTGGTCTTTGTTTTCGTTGGTCTGGAGGACAGCTGGCAGCCGCCTATCTATTTGTGGTGAACATCTATTTCATTGTGCAAGGGAGAGAGGGAGAGGGAGGGAATGGAGAGCGCAGCAATTGACATCATCTGCTGTTTCAGGACAGGGATGAGCGATAGTGATGAATATGTTTAAATATGAGGGGAGAGAAACCCAGGGAAGGTTTTGTCATGCTAATATTATTGTAGGTGCTGATTGAGAACTGATAGGGAGTTTGTGTCTGCCACACAGTTCAGTAGAGCAGCTGCTTGCATGGTTGAAACAAGAGACACGTTTGGTTGCTGCTTCTAGTCTCTACATCTCATATCAGGTCCATCTTTGAGCAGCCATTTACTACAAATCAGACCGTAGTCAGCAAGCCAAACTTTTCTCACTATAATCGCAAAACAACAGAGATATCAGAATTGGCACATGCATGCTTTATGAAATCCTTGAATCTTTCAATTATTACAATACGTTAAGAAGATTATTATTAAACTATGGAAAAACATAGATGATAATCGCTCCAAAAAATTATTTTGGGCATATTTTGCAAACAAGCTGACTTCTTGTGAAAACAACTTGCATACCTACAGTACACTTGCTTATCTGCTCAACTATGAAATTACTGTGATCCGACAAAATATGCAATTCATATAATCTTAAAACAATGCCTAATATTGATTTATCCTTTATTTAGGCAGAGTCCCATTGAGACCAAAGTCTCTTTTGCAAGGCAGCCCTGCATTACAAGGGCAGCAAGCAATTACACATTCAATATTCAAGCTGTATCAAAAGATAATAGCAGGGACATCCAACATACATACAGATGTAGGATCTTAATTTGAACCAGTTTGCTACAGCAGGAAAATAATCCTACAGCAACAGGAAATGTGAATAATTATGTTGATTATAATTAATGGCATTTTTTTGTAGGGGCTGATATATTTTTCGTTAGGGCAAATCAAGTCTGACATTTTAAAGTAGAAATTACTAACTTTAGAATACTTCTTAAACCTTGAATACACTAAAAGTTTGCATTTCCTGCTATGCAGGAACATTCTCAGCAACAAAAGAATGAACAAATTAAGATCCTACATCTGTAATCCAATATCTACCACAAAAGTGTACGAGTAAAACAAAAAGAGATCTGTTACAGTGACAGTCCTCGTGGATCAACCATGCAGTTGCATGGAATGTTGGTTATCGCTGTTTAAACAAATCAAAATATTCACAAGATAGATCAATAATAATTCATAACTTTAGAGAGAAGGACTGCATCCTGGGATTGAGGGACATGAGGGGATGAATGTGTGGAGACCAGCCCAGAGGTCCAGCTCTAATGTTTAGCTAATGATTGGCGTCTGAGAGGAGAAAGGCAGAGGAAATGACTTGTTAGTATGGTTTGATATGTCCCAGATTCCAAATTCACCTTCAACCGCTCTCTCAAATCTTCTCACCCAGATAAAAACATTCTTATTCAGACCCTTCTTTTCTTTCTTTCTTTGCCTCTCTGATTCTAATCTTGTAAGCCATTATTTTTCTATTTCCCCTCTGTCACTTTGCATTATTTTTGGTGCTGTAATTCCTATTTGTCCCTTCTGGAATCTTCCTGTCCCTCTTTGTCCTCTGGTCTAATCCGGACTTCTAGCCTGTTGTCGGCCCCTGTACCCCATTCTCAGTGGGGTTCAGATGGAATATCCATGCATGACGCCCCTTCTATGGCAACCACACCTCCACAGGAAGGCAACGGCGACTTTTCGGATGGGCAGAGAGGGCCTTTCAGAAGCTGGCAGGAGAAGTAAATCCTTCTCTAAGGAACAAGGGGAATTAGCAGGGAGCACTGGACTAGGGATTTAACCCCTCTCCTTTGAAAGGCCCAGTCACTCCGACTCCCGCGGCTAGCTACAATCAAACAGAGGGGGGGTGGGGGGTCGCGGTGCAGAAAGGAGAACACAGCTCCCTGAATGACACAAGCACTGGATTGTGGAGGAGCCTAATCCCACTTTAATACCTTTCCAAGTTCAGCTCCTAAAGAATGCTCTTTAAAACAACACCAGTGTGTGAGCAGTGAAGGACAACCAGAGGGAGGCACGCTATTCAACCTCCATAACATTACCTGATTAGCAGATAGAGGCCCAGGCGGTGGGGAGAACATGCCCACGGGAGACAGGGGAAAGACACAGATGATGATGATCACGCTGATCTGTAAAATACTATAATAAACACATCAACTATCAAGGTCATGCTGACTCCAGCCCTAAGATGAACAGGGTCTGCAGTTTGAAGTGTAGGCTAAGCTCTTTGTAAAAGCTAATGGGGCAAGAGGGATAAGATGCAGCAGCTGGTGTAGTGCTGGGCTAGCATGGTTACTTTATCAGTATCCTTTTACAAACTGACTCATATCACTCAAAAATGACAAACTGGCTCAATGACTCAAAATGCCATTTCAAATCAAATCAATATCTGCCCAAAATCCACCAATGAAAAAAGAATGCATCAGTTTCTGCTGCTGCCAATAGTGACCCCGCTATTGAAGCCTGCGTTAAGAGGTATGTTGTTTGTTGTGTGCTTTACTGAGGACGGAGATAGAGCACGGACCACAAAGAGGACCACCAGCAGGATCCTCTGTCCCTGCTTTCGTTTGCAGTCAGGATCTGCGTTTCTCTCCTCCCACACCTGAGCGCACAGATCAGCCCATAAGACCCTCCTGTGTGGATCAATGACCACGTTTCAAGCAGCAAAGTGCCAATATTTACCCAGGCGTTCTCAGCATTGGACCTCATCAGTAGAATAAGAGATAATCTCAGCAGATACCTTTAAGAGGGCTCCCAGGGGAATCATTATCTCCTACCAATCCTTTGTCCACACAATTCCTCCTTCCATCCTTCCATCTCTTAGCACTCAATATCTCTCATTCTTATTTGTTTTTTTTCTTTTCTCTCTCTCTCTCTCTCTCTCTCTCTCTCTCTCTCTCTCTCTCTCTCTCTCTCTCTCTCTCTCTCTCTCTCTCTCTCTCTCTCTCTCTCTCTCTCTCTCACACACACATTCTAGCAGGCTGTACTGAGATTCACAAGAACCTAGACTCTCACCTTGCTAAAAGCAATGTAAAACAGTAAATGGAACAGCGGCATTTCATCATTACTCTGCATTCACCTATGGCGAATTCAGCTATGCACCCTCAAAGTACCCCTTACGATGGAAAAGACTCAACTTTTTGACAAGCTTTGTCAGATAGAGATATTTAAAAATATATATATATATCCCTGGTCTGGTCAAAGGATAAGCTCAATGCAGCTGAGAGGCCTCAGCCTTTGGAGTCGAGGGTTTTCACCTCCCTGTTCCTCTTCTTTCTTTCTCCTGCTAAGGCCTGCTGCAGAAGTATGCACTTTCCCTTTGAACAGATTAAAAGCAACTTAAAGTGTGACAACATCTTAAGCTTTCACCACATGTTGCCAATGATTTCCCACTAAAGACATTACTTTCAATGCTTCTGCCACAGTGATAAGGATCAGGGTGAGAGAAAGGGATAAAAGAGGAGCCGGAGGATGAGAGAGAGGTATGGAGGAGTTTGTAGATTGATAATCATGGTACATTTAGCAACACATGGTCTCGTCTCACCTACTCCCCTTTTGCTATTAAACAACCAGAGAAATAGCATAACAATTTAGTGGGAGAATAGCCCAGGCTATTATGTCCTGGCATCCCCTTCAAAAGAAAGAGAGGATCAGGATTAACCCACGGGAACAGCTGTAAACAATCACTTTGAAGATGGCCTTCCTTGTTTCACTAAGAAGCGGGTGGACCTGTAAGGCTGGCCATGTCAATCAGCCAGACGTGAGGGATGAGATGTATGGACCAGGGTCACAGCCACAGGAAGGCCTCCGGACACTGACTGCAGACTGAGGACCTGTGGAGCAATCGGTCAACACCACATGGCTGGAAGCTCATTGATTTACAGGCTACATCTCTGGCCTGACCTTTCTCTCCAGCCATCCATCTCTACTGCAGTCCAACAAGAGCCCAAGTCGGCTGTCTCCTGGAAACCAAGGAGAAGGGTGGAGGCAGAGACCAGAGGAGAGAGGGGTGGAGGGAAAGAGGGTTGGAGGGAGAGACCAGAGGCCAAGGATACTGATAAACAGCAGCTCCTGTTAAAAACATGGTAACTCTGTTCCAATGAAGACTGGAGTGTAACAGCACAGAATATTAGATATAGAGTTGAACAGCTTTACTGGGTGTGGATGTATGTTACGTGCAAAAACATTTGATGCCCAGATGTTCCTTTGTGCATAGATGAATGAATGTGATCCTTAACATTTAGAAAATTACTTTGTTATGTACAATTGTGTTGGCTACTAGATACAGCACGTTAGACCATAGAGGCACGTGTTCTAAATATAGCAGCCTCAACTTGAACCCTACTTTGTCTAAATGCTTACAGTGATAACCACAGTTGT